AGTAGAATGTAATAAATGTACATAAAATTATAGTATTTTATGTACAATTCTGATAAAATTTCATAAGAAAGGTACCTATAAATTAATTAGATACCTTTCTTAAGAAATATGAAATTTAATGTCACTCTTAACAGTTTTATTTTAATTTCTTTACAATATATTTCCCATAAAGCATCATAAACGTAAAGGTGAAAGCTAAGTACAAAAAAAAAAAAAAAAAAATTAGACCGCTGAAAGTTTTCGTTAAAAATAACGGGGTAAATAATTTGTTCACGTAAATGTAAATTATTTCACTTTTCTCCTTCCGTAGAACAAATTAGCCTCATTGAATTCGTAAATATATCATTCATCACATGTCAAGAGACACGAAAGTTTATGACCTGCTTTGTTTTATTTTCAAATTACATCTTTTTGGCACAAAAGCTAAGTTAAGTTTGGTTCAAAATATTTTAAATAAACATTATAATTTCTGATTTTCTTAAAATAAGTTTTGAAAAAATGATAATTGATATTTAAAAAAAATTTCAAAGTCAGATTTCCAGTTTTTTTTAAAATGGCAAAAAATGGTCAATTTTGCTGACTCAAAAAAAACTAGATTTTTAACGAAAATTTCGGACGTGCTAGGAACGATTAAAAAATGGAAAAAAATACCCCAAAAATACTTTGACCTTTCCTCTTAATGAATAACAAACATTTAGACAATAAAATTTTGTTTTCGTCAAGTTTGGCGTCTTTTTCATCATGCTATGCTCTTTTTTTAGCGATCTCGTGGAGGTACCTAAGCTAAGTGAAAAGACTGGGTATAGAGAAAATTGAGGAAAGGATAAAAAGAAAAATGGGGATCAAGGTATCAGAAGATGACGATTGTTACATTTCAATTTTTGAAGATTGTTGTTATCAGGGGAAAGCAAGTAAGAGGAAGGGAGTTCCACTGTTGGGAAGTGCGAGAAAAGTTGTTAGAGTAGAAGAGGCAGTTACATTTAACTGTCTCAACAGTAAAAGAGTGGGACCTAAATGCCAACCTAGTAGCATGCGTAAATTCATGAAATTGGGACACCAGGGAAAATAGCTCATCAAAGTAGTTGCCATGAAAATATTTGCAGAAAAGACAGGGGAGCCATATCATGTCTGTGAGAAAATGACTGGAGTTGAGGTGACAAGTCAGAACTGATCACATTGCAGATCCGTCTTTGGATTTTGTCAAGAACCTTGAGATGAACAACAAGGGTGCCAGACCATATATAGCAACAATATTCAATACATGGATGAATGGTAGATTTGTAAGATGGAATCAGATGAAAAATATTTTCTGGCACAACACAGAGAACCAACTTTCCTTGTAGTAGATGCAGTTATTGATTCACTGTAGTTGTTCCACATCAGGTCAGTGAAAAACATATGGCGAAGAAGGCGCAGTGAGGTGCTCTCATGAAGTCAAGCATCAACCATGTTGATAGGGGGCAGGGAAATTTCTCTATAGTGGTTAAATGAGAGCAGTTTCATTTTGAAGGCATTAAAATTTACAAGCCATTTCCTGCCTCAATCAACCACTGAGTGAAGCTCCTTTTTGAGACCAATGTGCAGGTTAACCTTGTCAGCATTGCTGGATTTACTATTGAGACAGGAGTAAATGGTGGTGTCATCTGTATAGATTCCTACTTGAAAACTGATGACATCAGGAAGATCATTGATGAAGATCAGAAACAGTGTACAACCCAGGATAGAGCCTTGGAAACACAAGTGTTTGCATGAAAGTAACTGGAAGAGAGCCTGTTCAGGACGATCTTCATTTCCTGATTTGATAGGAATGATTGGATTAAATCATATAATTGTCCTGTAATACTGTAGCCCTGAAGCTTATGTAGAAGGCCAAACCCTGTCAAACACCTTAGAGATATCTAGAGCCACAACTCAAGCTTTACCATTATCAAGAGCTTGGTATACATATTTATTTATGGTTGTAAGCACATCAGCAGTAGACAGGGCAAAACGGAAAATATATTGTTTGTCAGAGAAAAGATTATGGGAGGTAAGATGCTCAACCACTTCGGCATTGATTAAAGCCTCAAAGACTGTGGTAGGAGATTGATAGGGCAGCAGTTAGAGGAGTCAGAAGGGTCTCCAGCATTCTTAAAAACAGGGACAACAGAGGAAGACTTCTAACAGGCTGGAAAGTAAGAATCATCAAGGCAATAATTGTATAGTTTGGAGAGAAATGGAGTCAGCTCAAGAATACATTTCTTTAGAACTACTGCTGGCATCCCATCACCACCACTTGCTTCATGAGAATCAAATTTAGAAATGATGTCAGAGACCAATAATGGGGTTATGCACATATTGCTCAGTAGAGCCTCAGTTCTAAGGGGAAAATCAGATGTGGGCACTCCAGATGTGTCGAGTGTTAAGTTGGATGAAAATTTCCAAGCAAAGCACTCAGCCTTATCTGCTGTGGATGTCAGGACTTTGAATTGATTGAATAGAGGAGGGATTGAGGATTTGCTGTTGTTCAGCACACTCTTGCAGAGATGCCAATAATCTCTAGAACCAAACTTGCAAGATGCAATATGTTGTTTCATTCTATCAGCAAACAGCAATTTTGCTTCATTGAGGACACACTTGCACTCATTATGAGCAGAGACAAAGAGATGTCTGTTGCAATCAGACATGTTGCTTTAGCACAGACAGAAGAAGTGATTCCTGTGGGTTATAGTGGCTGATCAAGCAGGTGAGAACCAAGGAGTTGAGTGTGATTTAACTTGGTATTTCCACGCTAGAATGAAAGCTTTGATGCTGTCTTTTACCCAGGAGCATTTTTGAATGGAATGATTAAAAACTACATTCCAAGGGACATCACAAAGGAAATCAGAAAACAAGTCCCAGTCTGCATGTTGATAACAGAAAGATATTCTGTTTATAGGAAGTTTATGGTTGGAGGGGGAGTAGTAGGAGATGTTTACATACACTACTGCATGATCAGAGTTGCCAAGAGAGCAGAGCTGTGTAACATGAGAAGAGTCAGGGATGAAGGTAAAATAGAGATCGAGAAGGGAGGCATGACTGTCAGGGTTACTGGGAAATCGTGTAGGAAACTCAACCACTTGCGTGATGGATTGAGTGATTGAAAACTTAAAGATTTGGATGCCAGCAAGGTCAGTGATCGAGTGTTTAAGTCACCTGGTATGGTGGGTATTAAAGTCATCAAACACAAATACATTTGCAAATGGATGCAGAAAGATGGCTTTGTCTAAATTATTAGAAATACTGTCAAGCAAAATACAGTCTTGAAATGAAGGGGAATGGTAGAGAAAGAAGAGATAGCTTACTGAAATAGATGGAGACATATATAAATGGTCTGGAGATTCAAAAGAGAATTCTCTAATCAGTGGGAGATGATCACTGACATACTCCCATACCATGTATGTGGACGTTAGAGTCCTTTCTAAGGAAAGAAAAGTAGCCAAGAATTGAGAAATCAGAGGAAAGGATCTTTTGCTTTTGAACCTTATAAATAATAGTTCAAGAATAAATTTTATTTTATATGATTTTATGAAACTTAGTAAAATGAATAAATTTTATTTTTTTTCACTACACATAGTAGTTTTTATAAAAAAATTTTGTTTGTTTAATTAATTACTTTTTTTGTAACTGTTTGCGGTCATAAGATTGCATCCAATGTGTGTGTGTGTGTGTGCTATTAAAATTCTGAACTTAAGAATTTCCGATAGGGAAAAGGTTTTCTCTTTTTGAACAGCCATACCAAAAATAATCTAACAAGTTGCTAAAAAAAAAAAAAATTCTTTTAAAAATGGTTTCAAAATACCCAAAAATGGCATCGATTTTTCAGACGTGTCTTTTTTTTACTTAATAAAAAAAAAGAATTTAATTTTTTTTTTTTTTTATTAAATAAAGAAAAACAACGAGATGAATGTCAAAATCACACTGAAAATTTTAAAAAAAAAATGAGTTTAAGAAGTGTAGAGTAGACTTTTTTCTGTTCAGTCTGAAAGAAAATAACGTGTTTTTAGTTTTTAAAAATTAATTAAGTGCCAACTGTCAGAAAATTGTATTTCTTTGTTTACTTATTGAATTTTTATTTTTTAGTAAGATTCGGGACGAATTTTCCGTATGTTCACACTTGATATTGTATATACTGAAATAACATCTTCAAGGATTTTAAAACTCAATAAAGAAAAATGTAAAAAAAGAAAGAAAAAAAAAAAAATTGAACGACCCCTCCCCACTTCCCAAATTAAAGACCACGCAAAATGGTAAAAATGTAAAAGTATCAGACCCCATAAAATAGTTCCACAAACTTTTCCAATAAAAAATAAGCTATATACACTTTATTCATTAATGAATAAGTACTAACTAACAACAGTTGGATTTGAATCGGATAATTCCCTGATTTTTAGCAAATATTTTAAGAGATGGTAGTGATTTTTTGCTTTTACTTCGGTACCATTTTTGGTGGTGGTACCTACCGGCGAACAAATTCACAATTTTTTTTCCTTTGAATAAAGAAAAAAGTGTATATATAAAAAAAACAAATTCCTTTCTACATTCAAAACTATGTTGTTGTTTTTTTTTCACAATTTATCACTGAAACTGACTTGTTTCAAACTATCAAATTGGAAGTATGAAGCAAAAATATTTATAATGTTTACGTAATTTAAAAAAGTGTCTCTCTAGTCTATCACGTGTCAAAGATTTTTAAAAATAGCACAAATATATATATATATATATATTTTTCCAGTAACAAGATAAATTTTAGTCCATTTTCTAAATTTTCCCGTTTATAAAATTTAAATTAAAAAAAAAATATTATCGAAAAAAAATTTTTTTTTTTCGAGAATATTAAGTAAAAAGCGTTACCAAATCATTTAGAAATAAAATTTAAAAAATAATGCTTGAGCCTTGAACATAACTGGAGTTTTTTAAACTTTTTTTTTAAATGAATGAAATGAAAATAAAAAAAAAAAGTTTCTTAAAAAATAACTTACCATTTCATCAAATAGTCTTGAGTTTCTTTATCCTGTATGAAAGGAAATACGTTGTCTTTGATGTATTTGAAAGTAAATTTAGTAGGATTTTTATCAATAGACGACATGGTGAGTGTTGAAATATTGTCTCCACGACTGCGTGGTTTTGTTTGGAGCAGGCTCTCTTGTTCAACAGCAACCAGAGATGACGATAATACGGAAGGCGAACAACGCAGAAAATTATATTTTCAATGAGTTTTTGAGTTTTCTTCCCTGATTTTATTCTTTTATCTTAAAAAAATGTTTACTTTACATTAGGTAAAATTCTATATAAATTATGAAAAATACTTGGAAAAATATTATTTTCAAAAGGATTATTAATGTTAACAAGCAGTTAGTTTTGTTTTGTTAAAAAAAACAAAAAAAAAAGAAATTAAGAGGATAAAAACGGGGGAAAAGAGAAAGAAAAGTATAAGAAAATAAGACAAGTGAAGGAAAAAAAGAAAAATAATTTAAAAGGAAGACAGAAAAGAATGAAATACATTCCGACTCTGGACAACTAAAGAGGTAAAAAAAAACTCTTTGAAAAATTTTAAAGCTACCAAATTTTAAGTTACCCGTTTAGTGTTGGCAAATATTTTGCAATAATTTTACGACAAAAAAAGATTTCGTCATTTGATCTTCATACTGACAGACAGAGACCTAGCCGATAGAAATCTTCAGGAAGCACATTCAAAATAACAACCACCATTATAACTAATATAATGCTTACGTTCATCCATAGCTAATATGCATTTGGCTATATGTTCTAAGGGAAATAACTAGTGTTTGATAACAGTAACCATGGCAACATCAACACTAACTCGTCTGTTCTCAAAAAAGATTGAACTCGTGAAATATTAACTTGCTCAGTTAAAAATAAAATAGAATAAAGAATGAAAAAAATAAATGAACTCGATGGTGTTTATTTGATTAAATAATTTAAACATGATATATATATTATGTCTGTTCCATAAGTTGCTACATTCAGGTGTATGAAATATGTAACAACTACAATAAGTCTCATAAGTTAGTTTGTTTCAAATTTGATTTATTTTTTAGGCATATTTATGAAATAAATTCAAGGCGAAGGAAAATATTTCAAAATACAAAAAGTGTTTAGTTTATTTCTTTAACTAAATCTTTTCTCTCGATGTCCTTATTTTCCTATATTAATTATTATTTTAACTTTATTCTTCAGAAGACGGACTTCTTCTTTTTCCTTCTAGATCTGATCTGCTATTTCTGATTTCATTGTGTCTCCATGAACTTCAATATTTTTGAAGTTTTATTTTGAGAATATACAAGTTGGGAAAATATTGAATAATTGAAATTTGTTTCTAAATTTAAAATAGAAATAAGTTCATCATTAAGTTTTGTATATTAGTTGTTTCATCTTAATTTCACTTGCTTTTTATCACAATGATCAGATTGTAGCGACTGCTATGTTTTTCCACGCCCACATTTTATTTGTCTGTGATTGGCTAATATTGCCTTTCTATAGGACAATTTAGCCATTGTAGCTGTACTTTGAATTTTTCTGTTTTGAACTTGCTCACTTGTTTCGTTAGTACAAATTTAGCGATTGGTCAATTTTTAACCAATCACATAATTTTAGTGCAAAATCAACTTTTCCAGCGGTTTCGCTGGGAGCCTATCTGTAGCCTTAAAAGAGGCGACTTTTTCACAAGCAGCCAGTAGAGTCCAGCAAATTTCGCCTGTCAACACAAACTTATGACTTTACTCACATTTCAAATACACACACAGACACAGAATTTTGTAATACATATATACATATCTCTCTGTGACTCAGCCAAGTTCAATCAACCAGGACTCTGTTGATTTCTCTAACACAACACACTTTCTGATCAATTGTATTTTTGTGTTATATATTCTAACAGCAGACTTGTTCTAACATTGATTCCTGAACATTTCTCTCTAAAGAGAACTTTCTTTCGAACAATCAATTACAAATCAAAATACGGTAAAAGAGAAGCAACTTCTTTTCCCTTAATCTATACATTGAATACAAATTATCATATATTTTGTTCTTGTATGTTATTTCAATATATACTTGTTGATTCACATTTGGAGTTTTGTTGTTTTCTTGAATCATTAATAATACAAAAAGTATATGCACAGTGAACACGCATAACAAGATCATCATTTTACATCTGTTACCAGAATGATCTTTATAGCTTAATTGGTATAGAAGCTGCTCTGAAAAGGCAATACCCAAGCATAAGAGATACAAATTCAAATCTAAGCAGAAGTTTATTCTTAATTTCCAAGTCATGTTGCTTACTAACAATCTAGGAGTTGAAACATAATGCAATTTAAGATGAAACAAATTCTTGTCAAAAATTAATTGTAGGATTTAATCCCACCTTTTCTGCTAATGAGCATAACACTGCTAGGTAGCATTGTATTGTAGCAGCCCACAGAGGGATTTCTAATTATCAAAGAATCTTAATATAAAGAATATACAGGAAAAATATTGACACCAAAAACTGAGTTACAACAAAGGTAGATTTCTTAATAAAAAGGCCAAAGTTTTATTATTGGCAAATAACCAACAACTTAATTATAAATATGAACATTTGTTGATTTGTAAGAACTGAAAGGAGTCACTATTTAGTAAGGGGTGAAATATTAAAAACACATAAAAATGTTCAAAAATGTGAGTGTGTAGATATGCAAATGTGATTAATATAGTGGTCCAGAAAAAGGAGCATTGTAACTGCATGCAAGTGATAAGTCTTTGGAATTGTTTGTGTTATGCTCCTTGATAAAAGGATAAATCAAACCCAAAAGAAATCACTTGAATAAAAGGATTTGGGACTGGTAAGTAAAATCCAAAAATGGCAGCATGCTGAATGAAGAAGTAAATCCAAAAATTTTGGCGGGAAACTAAATCAAGATGCCATGTTGCTAAGTTGAATTCAATATTGTGATGTGCCAATGAAAAAGGCACCAAAAAGTACTAAGTAACCAATCATGATAGCATAGGCCATCATGATTGTGTTTCTGTGAACAAAATGTTAAGAGAAAAATAACAATGGATAATTAACAAAGCAACAAGTGAAGGACTGGGTTTGCTCAACAAAAATTCAGGACAGATAGCAAAGAAAAGAAAGGAAAAACAGATTTACTGCATCTTCCTGAGAGAGGGGGTAAGCAGAAAAGAGAAAGGAAAGGCAATGTCATCATCTTTCCAAGAATGAAGATGTGAAAAGAGGAAGAGATGACCTCAACACAAAAAGTACAAAAAGGCTCTGTATGGATATAAGATTGTTAGGGCAACGTAACTTGGCTTGTCTTTCCTATTTCTTTGCCTAAGAAATTAAGTAGATATTTAGAAAATGTTTTTTCTTTAAGCAAAGGTTCCTACTAGTATACCAGAACTGTTCATCAAGTTTTTATGTATTATATATATATAATTTTTGAAGCATTAAAAGTTTTGTTAGAATCAAGAAACACTGATATGTAGCAATACGTAGCAAAACCATTGTCAGTCAAGGGAGCTAATCCACTTCTGGTTGCTGAACCAGTGGATGTGACAACATTCAGGACTATACAAGGAAGAGACATAAATCCGCTCCATTTCTTTTTGCTCTGGGATGTAGTAGCGACAACACCAGGAGAGAATTCTTTTCCCTGGCAAACCAACTACTTAATTTAAAACAAACTATGTGGACAACACATGCTACCACTGATTCCATAAATGTTTTCCTTTTTTAGCTACCTGTATACATGAAAATATTTATCATTCTCTTCCTTTATGAGCTATGTTATTCTTTGGATAAATGTGTATGCAAAATTTCTCAACATGTTGAATTAATTTCTCTTGAAAATGTTGAATTCATTTACTTTAAAAGTTTATAACTTATTCTGTTACAATGCAGTACCTCCCCACAGCAGAATAATAAACTTACAATGTTTCATCTAAAAAAGGGATTTCCAAACTGACTCGTAAGTCACATTCAGCCCATCCCATGATTATATTTGTCTGAGGTAAATTAAAAGATTCATAAATTAATAGCCTGTTTTTATCACCTGCACTTGTTATTTGTGATATGTTTGGTCTTTTGGGACTTCATCAGATGAAACAAGTCACAATTAACTGATTATTTTGTTCCTACATTACACTGCGTGCCAAATTATTATCGAGATAACTTTTTTTCTATTTCAAATACTGTCCAATCAATTCACACAAAATTTTCACACAATGTTGGCAACACTACGCCATTGGCTATTCTATTGGTCTACACCTATTACCTGTGACTACGACGAGTACCAGTCAATTACTGCTACCGTGTACTACTTGGTTATAGTAGCCGAAACCACTTAGCTACTTCGATCAAATACATCCCTTTCCAAGACATATCAGAAATGTATCCCCAAAAGTGGGGTTTATCATGCATTAATGCATTATGGAAACTGAAAACTAGCCCTCAAGGTCCTCTCACATACAGAGGTATCTCAACTGGATCCATCATAGTAAAAGTATTAATAAACATTATATTAACTAGGCTCTCGTGATTTTATGAAAGTCACCTCCTCATGACCCAATTTAGCTTTGTTATGGAAAGGAATGCAGCAATGGTACATATGTCATCAAACAAGTTCAAGAAATTGCTTACCTTTTTAATAGGAAACTGTATACCTGCTTTGTTGACCTTGCAAGCAACATATGGCCACATCAATAGAGACTTCCTCTTCTCATCCATTAGAAAGTGCTTTCCAAGCTTTGAATCCACTGAATGTATAAATCTAATAGAGGAACTGTATTGAATGTTACATGTCTAGTGAGGACCCTAATATGGAAATATTTCAGACCTCATCAGGAGTACAAAAATGAGGAAATGAGATTCTCAGTTTATTTAATCTCTTCCTAGACTCTAACCTGCACATTTACGAACACAGATGTGATGAGATAAGCACTGGACATTTAAACATTACATAACACACCCCAAACAAATCTACCAATATAAGACAATGATATGGCTTTCCTGCTTGGGTCTGATGTACTGATGATGAGGGAGGCTACATGCTGGCATAGGTATTCATAGTTGGGATAAGAATGATC